TTATATTTTATCATATTTTATTTATTTTATCCTAATTTCGATTTTTTAAAAATTCAACCGAAATCGAACCAAAATTATTCGGTTAATATGAAAACCGAAACAATAAAAATCGAAAACCATTTTAATCGAACCGAATTTATTTTTTTGGTTCGATTTTCAAGTAAACCATCGGTTCGATTTCAAATGCCCAGGACTAATCGCATGTGAGCGGTAATTAGCACTTAGACGTCGCTAGCAGTGGGCTCCTCTTGTAGAAATTTTTCTGTCCAAAGGTACCACGGGTCTTGGTCGTTGTCCTTGATTATTGTGCCAATGCTTCTTCCGCGTCATTGCATCGCATGTGAGCGGTAATTAGCACTTAGACGTCATTAGCAGTGGGCTCCTCTTGTAGATATTTTTCTGGTACCTTTGGAACCACGAGTCTTGGTCATCGTCCTTGATTATTGTGCCGGTGCTTCTTCCGCGTCATTGCATCACATGTGAGCGGTAATTAGCACTTAGATGTCGTTAGCAGTGGGCTCCTCTTGTAGATATTTTTCTGGTACTTTTGGAACCATGAGTCTTGGTTGTCGTCCTTGATTATTGTGCCGGTGCTTCTTCCGTGTCATTGCATCGCATGTGAGCGGTAATTAGCACTTAGACGTCGTTAGCAGTGGGCTCCTCTTGTAGATATTTTTTTGATACCTTTGGAACCACGAGTCTTGGTCGTCGTCCTTGATTATTGTGCTGGTGCTTCTTCCGCGTCATTGCATCGCATGTGAGCAGTAAATAGCACTTAGACGTCGTTAGCAGTGGGCTCCTCTTGTAGATATTTTTCTAGTACCTTTGGAACCACGAGTCTTGGTCGTTGTCCTTGATTATTGTGCCAGTGCTTCTTCTGCGTCATTGCATCGCATGTGAGCGATAATTAGCACTTAGACGTCGTTAGCAGTGGGCTCTTCTTGTAGATATTTTTCTAGTACCTTTGGAACCACGAGTCTTGGTCGTCGTCCTTGATTATTGTGCTGGTGCTTCTTCTGTGTCATTGCATCGCATGTGATTGGTAATTAGCACTTAGACGTCGTTAGCAATGGGCTCCTCTTGTAGATATTTTTTTGGTACCTTTGGAACCACGAGTCTTGATCGTCGTCCTTGATTATTGTGCCGGTGCTTCTTCCGCATCATTGCATCGCATGTGAGCGGTAAATAGCACTTAGACGTCTTTAGCAATGGGCTCCTCTTGTAGATATTTTTTTGGTACCTTTGGAACCAAGAGTCTTGGTCGTCGTCCTTGATTATTGTGCTGGTGCTTCTTCCGCGTCATTGCATTGCATGTAGGGGTGGGCAAAATTGGTTTCGGTTTAAAACCCAAACCGATTTTGAATTAATCGAAAAAATTCGATTTTAATTTTGTGAAACGAAATCGGACCGAATTTTTTATAAGCTAATCGGTTCGGTTATCGATTTTTATCAATGAAATCGGTTTGGTTTCGGTTTTTATTAAA